TACAGTGCTAAAAATAATGAAAGCCAAATATGAGCCACTTTCATTAAAACTGGGAGAGTGTTGGAAAGAATTGGATCCCAGGTCTCCAGTTCTTGTTATTTGCACATGGAATCCTTGTGGATTTGGCCTTCCTCATAAACATGGCACCCAAGCTATAAAGCAGATGGTCACAAATAATTTTTTTCCACATATTTTTTCTTTGTAAGGAAATGCTTCAGGACCAACCAAAAGCTGAGGTATGGGATGTAACTCTGAGAAATTCAGCACAGCTGCTCTGACTTAACAGGGTGTTTCAGTTCAGCCCCTGTGGAATACTCCTGGAATGTCAAAATTAGAGGGACATTTCTGAAGATGTGCTCTGAGGGCTTGTCCACAGGGAGAAGGCAGGGATCCTGAGCTAGCTAGTTTTTATCAAGGAGAAGCAAAACAGACACTGCTCTGGTCTTCAGTTTGCATCTCCACATGGCCCTGCAAGCCCTGCCACGTGCTTGAGGTTCCCCACCCTGTGCTCCACCGACAAGAAGGTTGTGCTGAGGAAAGCAAGATTGGTTCAGTTTGCTAGAACTGGCTATGAAAATTGCAGCAGGTTTCCAAAGCAGCTGATAAAAAACTGCATCTGCAAGCTCCATTCCCTGGTGTTGCCCAGGCTTGGCTGCTCCTGCTGACCAGCCTGCTGAGGCTTGGATGGAGTCCCATGCTCAGCCCTACCCCAAAAAGGGGAGTTACTACTGGATTAACACCTTCCAGGAGAGCACGTGGCCGGGAAACAGCTCCGCAGCCCTTCTCCCATCCAGTGCATCCAGCTCAGGGTTTGGCATGTCCATCCTCACCTCAGAGGTGTTGAAAGTAATTGGAGATTAGACATCTACATGCCTTGGGAAATGCACCTCCTGCTAAAGTGACTCCACAGCTCTGTGCCCTCTGAATGCCTGGAATCATGCTATGGTAACACAAGGGGTGCTGAGCTGTGAGGTAAGTCCCTCAGAAACACCCTGCAAAGTTCAGCTTGTGGTACCTGTAGGGATGTGTGAAGACAGGGGTAAACTGGCAGGGCTACAAAAGTGGGTCAGCTCACCTGTCAAGTATTCTAGGTCAGGTAGCAAAAGAGGCAAATAAGCTCTTTACACTGCCTAAATTACAAGAGAGGTACACTTTGTGTGCTGGCATTTATCCCTGACTACCCTGCTAAAGGAATGTGCTCTAAAATGGCCTCTGCTGACACAGTCAGGTGCTTTTGATGGAAGAAACTAAGTCAGCAGCCCCCAGATGGTCCAGTGTTAATGGATCTAGTGCTTCCCCTCCCCTACCTGGTGCAGTAACTTTTCTCTAGGGATAAAGCCTAAGAAAGACTCAGCCAAGCCCTTGTGTAGCTTGTGGTTTGGCTTCCTGCCTGCTCTGCCCTTCAAGCAGGAAATTCTCAAAGGGAAGGGAGTGCTTTGTGAAGCTACCTTAGGACTCTGCCTCTTCTCTTTTAGTTAGAACTTAGCATCAGGTCATCTGGAACTCCTGGAAGCTGACCAGACAGACTGATGGCGCCTACAGAAGGTATTTAAGCAACTTCTCTACCTTGATCATTTTCCCTCATCTTTTGTCCTTTACGTCCTTGATTGCTGTTATTCAAGCCTGAGATAATACACTCCTGATATCACTGAGATGGGAGAGACAAGCAAGGAGGAAGAGATCAAAGGGAGGAGAAGAAAGAGACGATGCCAAAGGCAGAAGAAGAAAGAGGGAAGATGCCAAATACTTCCTTGATTTACCTACTTTACATACCCAGTACACAGAGTTTCAGAAATTCTTAATATACTTCACTTTCCAAGCTGTGGGGTTACCACGTAGGCAGCAGGAGGCTGTCAGCGGAAGACAGGGGCTTCTTCCTTCAACCAGCAGAGGAAGTAAAAATCCCAGGAGGCCCTTGGCAACTGTGAGTGTTGGCTGACTTTAAAAAGAAACCCTGCAGAGTGCAGGCTGTGAAGTCTGGTTGTAAAGTATCTTTCTGCTTCCCTCTGCTGGCCAGATCACAGAAGCACCAACGTGACTCCTCCAGGGAGGGCTCAGGCAGACGAGCAGAAGAGAGGAGGGCCATCTTGTGCTGTCACTACACAAGCGTTCACTCCACCGATCGCTTTCAATTCGATCCTGAATTTCGGCAGAAATGCAATAGAGATGGAGGTGTCCTGGGGAGCTCAAGGAATGGGACCAGGGTCAAAGCGGGGTGGGCAGGAGATGGGACAGGAGTGTGCTACCTGTGGAGCCATTTCAAGGTTTAAATCAGTGATACTGCTGTACCACTTTTCTCATCCTGTTCTATCAGTTGTGACTACAAAGGTAGTTTAGCAACGTTTCTTTTTCAGCTGTGAAATTATTGTCCAAGTGCTGTTCCTGTTTGCTACAAGGTACTCAGCAGAACTTTAAGATCATAAAGTCCAACCGTTAACCCATCACTGCCAAGGCCACCCCTAAACCACGTCCCTCAGCACCAAAACTCCACATCTTTTTAACACCTCCAGGATGGTGACTCAACCACTTCCCTGGAGATCCTCCTCTAGCAGGGCCTGACAATCTTTTCTGTGAAAAAAATTCTTCCTATTACCTAATCTAAACCTCCCCTGGCACAACCTAAGGCCATTCCCTCTTGTTCTATTGCTTGTTACTTGGGAGAAGGGACCACGAGTACCTGTAAGGCAGGAATCCACACTGCAGAGCTACTGCACATCAGTGCAACGACTCCACCGTTTGTTTTGTTTGTAAAACTCATCAGTCGCCGCTATGAACGTGGAACAGAGAGGCCGGCAAGTCTGGGTTGGTTTTCTACAGAGATCAGCGGGTCAGCCACTTTTGTTTTCCCCACTCAGTGACCTGCTGAAGTTTGACCTGCTGCCTGAGCGCAGGACAGTGGCTCAGGAGGGCGGGCAGGGCCGAGGGGAGCCGGGAGGGCCGCGGGCGGTGCCGCCTCAGGGCGGGCGGCCTGAGAGG